GTCTGAGTATTGGATTAAACCCACGCTCACTTGTATCACTTCATGGAATTTATCTTGAGTGATCGTGAGACGATAATATCATATAAGTCTTCAAACCAAGAGATATGAGTTGTTGACTATGAGTTGGTTGTGCATTAATACTACGAAACCGCTTCAGTAACTTGATGCTATAAAACGTGTTGTTGCGTACAATTTGATGAGTAGTTAGTACAAACATATGAGTCGAAGTTTATCTGTTCCTTTTAGTCCTTGGAGGATTAAAAGCGATATCTTGGGCCCGTCGATGATTTTGTTTTGACTTATTTGTCGGGCCCGGTCAGAACTAAATTGATGTGTTCGATTAAGTTCTATGTCAAACAAATTGGAAATCGGGAAACAAATTGCTGGACAATAAGTATGACGTTGTTCCATGTATTTGTCCGGCTGATATCTTGAGAACAGAGGATTATATGATCACTTATCTAAAATGGAGAGTCTCAGTTCGACAGAGGCTTTTAAGAGCTACGATTGCTAGTCGACGTTTTAAGTCGTACTTGCAGTTATAGTTATTAGACTTATCCAAGTGGGAGATTGTTGGATTTAGTGTCTAAGCCCATAACTATAATTGGTATGTACTTGACCCGAGAGTAGCATGGTCCATTTGGGTTGCATGGCACCAGAACAATCTGAAGCATGGACATTTGAGAAGAGGTTATTTATGATTTATTAATATATTATAAGTTCTAATATATTAATATGAAATCATATTGTTTAATTAGTATTGATTAAGAATTAATTTGGAATTAATTTAGTGATCAAAAGAGACTAATTAAATATATGGGGATTAATTGTGTAAATCATTGATTCTTATAATATGGGCCAATGATTCATAATTCTTTAGGTTGGGCTAAACCAATGTGACAACCCATGGATAATCCATGGAGGTTTAAACCCATGGATCCTAAGGAATATGGAAGGTCATGCACATTAGGGTTTACATGGTGTAACCCTAGTTTTGCCACACTATATAAGAAGACCCTAAGCTCCTAAAATCGGCACCTAAGTAGTCTTTGGAAGAGCTATAGCCGAATTTGGTGCAAGACATTCTCTCTCAAGTCCTCCATTGTTGGTGGTGTTGTGTGAAGCATTTGAGGCATCACACTTGGGGTGCTAGGCTCTTAAAGGCTTAAGGTTTAAAAGCTACAACAAAGGTAAGTCATCTAACTAGATTTTGTAGTGTATATACTCCATAGTATGCTAGTTACGATGATGCCTTGGAAAATTGAAAGTTTGCATGTATAATAGAGAAAACATAGATCCAAGGTATTTAGGGTTGCATGTACACCACAGGAGTGTTAGAATGTTCAAAACCCTTTAGTGGCTTCAGGAGGTAAAATTGAGCCAACTATTGGTGGTTTGATTTACAAATTGGTACCCGAATCTGGAAAAAATGGATGTATTTGTTGAGAATATGAAGGAGAAGAGTATTAGGGTGGTTTTCGATGAGTGAATAGAAGGTTTTCATGATGGTGATGTATCTCCAATTAAGCCTTGTGGTGGGAGGTTATCCAATAATGTGACCCATGTAAGCTGATGCCCACATTTAATACCAGGACACCAGTCACCGCCACGTTTCTCAAACCCAACACCACCCTTGTCGCCGATGTGAGTATCAAAGTGCAAAAAGAAAAAATAAAACATAGACACATATAGAGACAAACACGATGTCTCAAGATTCAAACCTAATAAACCCTGGTGTAATCTGAAATCGATTTTGAGAGTGATGGGGTGAAATTAGATTCTGACTTTTTGCAACCTTAGCGAGTTCAAATCTCCATCCCAGATCCTAGAGGGATTTGGGTCTAGTGCTGTCATGTACGATTTGTTTGTGAAATTTTTTTAATCCTTCTTCAGGTCTTATTTTACACACTGCGGGGATAGAATCAATTGAAGACAAACCCTCAAAAGAAACAATGGATCTATGTAGTAACGAATGTCAATTTTTTTTGTGAAAGTGCATGTTTTTCTTTTGAATGAGAGAGAGAGAGAGAGAGTGTGTGTGTGAGCCCTTTTTATTTTTTTAATTATTAAAATGAATAAATTAGTATTAGATTTAAAAAAAATGAACGAAAAATGGAAACAAAATACCCCAAGGGTATTACAGTAATTTCACTATTTGGAGGAACCAAAAACGTAACAAACCTAACTCAAAAGGATTATGAAACCAAAAAAGTCGAGATTTAGATTAAACCTCAGAAAAATACATACCACAGGGCAGTTTTTGCAATTTTGTCATTTTTATTGTAATAAATGTATATTGAGACTTTTCCTAAGGAAATAAGAAACCTAATTACTCAAGATATGTTGGTTTATTATTAACACTCAATGCATTTACAATAGTAAAACTTTTTCACTAAGTTTTTTTAATGTCTAATGAATAGTAAATTATCAGTGTAATTTTTTTACAAGCCTTATTTATGGGTCCTACGCTTATTTATCTGTATTTTATAAGATAAAATAATATAACATAGAGAGCTTGCATTTTCTTGCAAGCAAAATAAAAAGTGAATAAACTATATGATAAAAGAGCTTTGTGGTTATTTTTTTGACTTTGTCAAATTTATTAGACCGAAAAAACTGCATGCCTCAGATTCTTATTGTGAACCCTTCTGAACAAAAACAATATAAGCTCATATAATCACAATATTTAAATATGTGGATTGACATTTAATAGAACTTCTATTCAAATTTCAAAATATGAAAAAACATATTGATTTGATTTTTTATAATGACTATATTTAATCAATTATCTGACTTTGAACATATAAGTGAAAATGATGGATTGAATTATAGTTATGAAGATAAGGGAAACATTAGTTAAAGATTAGGTTTTGACAAAATAGCTTCAACAACTTCATATTTATATGAACAAGTGACAAACCCTCAAGGCACTAGAAAGCTACCCGTGGGTAAAGACGTAAAGTACTAATCGGTCTATCTACTTACTCTCTTTTTACCTACAAGCCATAGAAGGTCGACCTCATTTTCGGCACCATGTTGACTTTACTCATGAGCTTCTATCCGTTTTTTTTTCTAACAGTTCAGAACATATATAATCGCACACGTTTGTTATCTATAATCTCAACAGTATCTTTATCCTAATATAGTTAAAGAGGGTTAAAAAGTGACTTATCTTTCTCCTAATATATATAAGTTAAAGAAGGTTAATAAGTGACTTATCTTTCTCCTAATATATATAAGTTAAGGAAGGTTAATTAATAAGTGACTTTAGATTTTACTTAAATTATTAGTTTTGTTGTCACTATTATGGACTTGATTATTTGTGATTCATCACTCATAACTAATTGATCAGATATTTATAATCATGTTTTTTCTTATTTCCATTTCAACTACTCCAATAGCATATGCACCATACATTATTATTAACAGAAATTTATTAGAATGAGTTTATGTTATTATTATTATTGTTATCGGTATAAATTTATTAAATTATACATTTTATATTTTGAAATTAATAGGAATTTTGATGGGATTTGGTCGCATACTTGGAAGGACTTAATCAATACATAGAATCTAACTTTAAGAAAAATTATATCAAATAGTTTTTAGTCTAACGGTATCAGATGTTGTCATTTATTATTAAAGTTGATGATTCAAGTTTTTAGTCTAACGGTATCAGATGTTGTCATTTATTATTAAAGTTGATGATTCAAGTCATGTCTAAAACATGTCTAATTAAAACATATAGTGGAAATTAATTATGAGAAGTTTAAGTACATATTTGATTTCCTGCTCCAGAAAAATAATGCTATACACCATACATAATGTTTGTATATTATGTTATATATCGTCCCTTTATTTTCATTAACTCGATATAAAATTAAAACAATATATAAAATTAAAACAATATATATGTATCGACGACATGTCGTTGGTACAGATTTCACGCGGGTCGCAAAATTCTTTACCGATGATAAGTCGTCTAGATAGATTACAACAAAATGATGACGTTTTAATTTTCTGCAACATCAATTATAAGGGAAATGGAAATTTTAATTCTTGTTATCTATACCGACGACTAGTCGTCGGCATAGTTTTCAAAAAACCGCGAAAAAAAAATTGTTCCTGCGTATCCTATGCTGACGGCATGTCGTCTGCAAAGACTTCCGGGTCAAAGATACTTGGTCATCTCTGGTTAACTATGTCGTCGGGAAAGCCAACATTATACCGACAACACTTGTCGTCCTTATAGATGTCTTCTCTTTTGCAAAGGTATAGATTCTTGTAGTGTCATGTGATAATTTCTGGAGTGCGTTTAGAGAAAAGGTAAACAAAATATCGGATTGACTTCTTCTATATTTCTAGAGAAAAAAGGCCATTTGCTTTTTCTTTGAAGCGAAAGACAATATAATGTAGATTATAATATTTAAAAATGAAAACATAACGGATTAAAATAAACGTCCTTAGACTTTGTCGCTTTATTAATTCTGTAAGATTTTTGGCAAAAAGATTTACAGTTTATGTACTTAGTTTTTCATAAGCATGTCAACTTGACAACTTCGTTACATTCGTTAATTTGAATCAAGGAAAGCGAATAATCAATAAGTGACATATATGAAGGAAAAGTTGATTATAAGAATTTTTATAGCTTGATCATAATTATATGATTAAAAAGTTTTCATTTACATTATTACATATATAACTGAAATATACAATAAAGTTTATATAATCCATTGACTCCAAATTTTGCATGGCCATGCGATTAATTCGTTGCGGATATTATAATATAATAATATAAAATTGCATACAAGGACCCCACTTTTGACAAAATCATACATGCAGCCTATCACGTAAACGTGTTTTAAAATAAAACCCAATACATTAGATTTTTTCTTGCATTTTAGTCCAGATTATTAGGTTAGCTGCTCCAGCAGAACACAACCCTTGGAACTCGCCTCTTACTATATATATACTAACCCTTTTATTCTTCCAACATACTCACTACTCAATCTATTTAGTAACCAAAATGGCTACATCTTCTTTGACCATCTCATTTGCATTGCTTGCTTTGTGCTTGATGATCGATACTTCTTCAGCACAACTCTCTCCCGATTTCTACTCAAAGAGTTGTCCAAAAGTTTTCGAGGCTGTGGGCTCAGTGATTCAGTCTGCTGTTTCAAAGGAAAAACGCATGGGCGCGTCCCTCCTTCGGCTCCATTTCCATGATTGTTTTGTCAATGTATGTGATTTTCTTTGTATCTAATTCAATGCAAATATATCAATGTCGACACTAATATTCTATAAGAATGGGGTAATTAATTAAGAGGAAGATAAGAGGCAGTATCTATCCAAGGATGGAGATGTTGCTTCCATAATTGACCTTCGACATAAAACAATAGACACAAGCACATTCTACATGATCATCTTGGAATATGTATAGAACAATATTTTTTTTCCTTAAACGTAAAGGTTTTGACACATTATTTTTTGCAGGGATGTGACGGGTCGATCCTTCTAGACGACACGCCTTCGTTTACCGGAGAAAAAACCGCGGGGCCAAATAATAATTCTGTTAGAGGGTTCAATGTGATTGATGATGTGAAGTCGAAAGTTGAGAAAGTTTGCCCTGGTGTCGTCTCGTGTGCTGATATATTAGCGATTTCAGCTCTCGAATCCGTTCTTGCTGTAAGTATGACAATAAAAATAAAGCATTAGCAGCATTAAAAGTGTCATTAAATCACTAATATATTATATAGTGCATTTATGTCGCGACATTGCTCTTTTAATACAAATGTGGTAAACCACACTATCTAAGCGGCGCACACCCAACTTGTCTTGCACTACCAAATTGCAAATAATTTAACCGTCTAAGAATTTTAACTTTGGACCTCATGTGAAAAGTTCTGCACGTTGACAAGTAGGCAATATATGAACAATGTCATGATATATAACACTTTTTAAATTTTTTGGGTATTCGGTACAATTCAAAAAGTCATTTTGCGATAGATATGAAGTTATTTCTCTATATCCCATGAGGACATAGGTAGTTATTTTATATAAACCCTAAAATAGTTTTTTTTAAACTCTCCATCCTGTAAGACTATTTTTGTGATTTCCTTTGATAATAATTAATTTCAACTTACTAAACAGTTACATGTTTTTTTGGAAACGACAAACGAATTAAGTGGAGCCTACTCGTAATATTTCAACGAGCACCCCGGGTTCGAGCTCCTTTACAGGGCAAACCCAGCCCCCATAGGGATTTTCAGGGAAAAATTCCCAACATGTGGCACCACAAGAGGTAGTTTAAGGGAATAGAACTCCCGACCTCACGCCTCACATGGGTATAAAACCCGGTGCATCAACCCAGCTAGGCTGGACATCACTTGCACTAAAAAGTTACATGTTAACTAGTTTGTTTGACCTAAAATGTGATCAACTTTGATTTGACTTGTATTATGTGATTGAATTGAACACTATATTTTTACGCAGTTAGGTGGGCCCTCTTGGAAGGTTAAATTAGGACGAAGAGACTCCAAATCAGCAAGCCTTTCAGCCGCCAACAGCGGCGTTATTCCGCCACCGCAATCCACCCTCAGCAACCTCATCAACCGCTTCCAAGCGGTGGGTCTTTCCGCCAAAGACATGGTGGCCCTCTCAGGCGCGCATACAATCGGACAAGCACGTTGTACAGTTTTCAGAGCACGTGTCCACACTGACACGAACATCGACGCTTCGTTTGCCAAATCACGTCAATCAAACTGCCCACTTACGGCGGGTTCCGGCGACAACAACCTCGCACCACTTGACGTGAAGACGCCGAATAACTTCGACAACAGTTACTACAAGGATCTGATCAACCAACAGGGTCTTCTCCGGTCAGATCAGCAGCTGCACAACGGTGGCTCCACAGATTCGTTGGTGGAGCAGTACAGCAAAAACCCCGGAAGTTTCCATGTTGATTTTGCGGCCGCCATGATCAACATGGGTGATATTCGTCCCCTCACTGGCTCCAACGGCGAGATCAGGAAGAACTGCCGGAAAGTTAACTCGTAATTGGTCGGAATATTTTGTGTTTCTATTTTAAAACGTGTGAATTTCAATTTAAGTTTAATGGTGTTTTTTGTTCCTTTTTGTTTTAATTATTAAAACTTGGTGAAATGTAATATCTTTGATGCAATCAAACTTATTTCCGTTCGGTATATGTTTTGAATCTTTATAAGAAAATCCACTCATGTATCGTCTTTCTTATACGATGGATAATCCTGGATGATTTTAAAAGAATTATGGTCTTATTGTTGGCCTTGTTATTGTTAAACCATTTCTTATATTATTTGAGGATAAAGAAACACAAGGTTTTCAAGTTACTTACAAATCAAACCTCTCTATAAAACCCTAATCTACTCTAGAAGTATACACTCAACCTACGCTACAAAGGTTTAGATAAAATGATCAAGAACAGAGGATGAACAACAACGAAGAATATAACAACTATGAAACCCTAACTAAAGAAGGTGAGAACTAGAGCTCTGAGTGTGTTGAGAGAAAATGAACCATCGAATGACGAAATCTTCCATCTCACCAATATATACCCCGGGTCATGGATATGAACCAGGTCTTGGATATTACCCACGAATCAGGATCCGCGTGCCATACCTGTAATTTGCAAGAAACGAGCCGCATCCCACAATATTCCCAAAATACCATGAATAACCCCTTTTAACAAATTTATTTCATTAATGAGAGAAGATCAAGATTTGCAATATTGACACAAAACACCCAAATCCAATAAATAATAATTATGAAATTGAATATCCACAATACTTAGTATTTTCAACATCCCCCTCAATCGAAATATTTATTTTTCCTTTTTAAAAACATCAATAAGCCCCATTTTATTTGATAAAAAATCATGTTGTTCAAAACTTAAAGGTTTAGTAAGAATATTTGCGTTTTGATCAGAAGAACTGATCTTAACCATCTTCAACACACCATTAGAAAAATTTTCCCTAACAAAGTGAAGATCTATTTCAAAATGTTTAGTACGCTCATGAAAAATTGGATTAAGAGTCAATTTAATCGTTGAATCATTGTCACAAAAAACAGATACAAGAGTAAGATCTTTTATACCCAATTCAAACAATATTTTCAAAATCCAAATTATTTTACAAGTAACGGATCCAAGGACTCTATACTCTGATTCAATAGAAGACCTAGAAACAGTAGTCTGTTTCTTACTCTTCCACGAGACCAATGAATTATTAAAGTAAATAATATAACCAGTTACAGACCTTCTGTAGATAGACATTTAGCCCAATCTAGATCTACAAAACCTTTTAACTCAAAACCATCAGACTTAGTCAAAACAACTCCTTTTCCTAGGCTACTTTTCAAATACCTTAGCAATCTGAAAGCAATTTTCAAACGTGACTTTCTAGGGTTGTGCATATATTGACTTAGAACTTGAATAACATAAGAAATATCGGGTCTAGTAATGGTAAGATATATTAATTTTCCAATAAGTTTTTGAAATTAGGTTTTATTTACCAACAACTCATCATTTTTAACAAAATCACCAGAATTGACAACTAGATTAGTTTCCAAAGGTGTGGTAACAGGCTTGCAGCCTAGCATACCATACTCATGAAGAAGCTCAAGGCAGTATTTCCTCTGATTTAAACACAAGCCATTACCAATATTGTGACACCACGCTAAAGCGGAAATACGAGGCGTGACAGTACAAAGAGTTTCATAGCAAAAGATAAAAGACAACACTAACCATAGTATTAAAAAGTATTACAAATTTACAATGAGTTTGAACAACTTTTTAAAAGAAATTACAATGTATTTAAAAGACAACACATGTGAATGCTCCTACAAGTGATGTGTCCTTAGGTGCCTCTTACTAGATGATTTCTAAAAAAGCATGTAAAACGAGCGTCAACTATAAAATAGTTGGTGAGTACTCATAGATTTATAACATAATATAGTTTGAAGTCCTGATAATCAGAATATTGATAACAGTTTCCATAAACAAATGTTCATTGCTAAAATAAGTAAATAAGTTTTCATGAATAGAAGTTCATTGCTAAAATGAGTAATAAAGTTTCCATAAATAGAAGTTTGTTGCTAATATAAGAAATAAAGTTCATTGCTCAAATGAGTAAACAGGTTCACTGTTTTTCACCGATAATAGCAACCTACTTACACTTATGACAATCCTCATATTTTTATGATAAATAGCCATGTACTTGCTCATTATTATTCAAAACAGAAAGAAACATAAAATTATTTCTCTCAGCCATTCCAAAAGAGGTTCGAGAACTAAAAAAAAACTACTCTCCATCACTATTTTTTCTTTTCCAAAAAATAACAACTATCCATTATTCCAAAAGCATATTCCAGAAAACAAAACAGAAGGTAAGCACATATTTTTTCCATAGAATTTCTTCCCACAACATCCCGGAAAATAGAAACCATTCGTCACTGTTTTTCTTGTAACGATGCATCCAACTGAAACAAATTAATATAATTTTCAAAAAAAGATAATCATAAAAATGTAAATTAATATTATAACTACCTTTCTTTTTGAACAACTAGTGGCATAATGACCCAATCCATCATAGTAAGAACATGTTCGCCTTTTCGGCATTTCTAGAGAAGACTTGATTCTACTTGCATTTTTCGAACACCCTTTCATATTAGTTGGACCAAGAGGATCTCAGACAGATATCTGAGGCGTCATATTTATTTCTGAAAGTCCCACATAATAACCTTGCGATGAATTTTCAAATGCTATAGGTTTTTCCAGAATCGTTAAATCATCTAAAAGCTTTATCAATACATTATTAACTTTTTGTATCTTTAAAGGGGAGACTTTTGCGTGTTCAATTACTTTGGTAAAGTGGAACGAACACACCATAAAGTGTATGCACTAACCCCATTATTATTATTCATTTCTTCGAGTCTGATACTGTTATTACCCACGTTGTACCTAACATTAAGGGTCCATCGAGGTAAAATATAGTGACTCGGAAGTGTTTCAACATGCCTCTTCTTCATCACATATTGGCAATGCTTGCATAAAATTCCATATGTCTCATACTTAGCACAAGAACATATAATATTCATTTGACCAACCAAACAGAAGCTAACAATTTTCCAATATTTTTTTTATCAATACTCATTTGCCCAACTCGATATGTTATTTCTTCTGTACTTTTGTTTAGAGTCTCATGAGTTAAATTGTTATTGGCTTCCATCCATTCTTTTTTAAAAATCTCAAAAATGTTTCTAGTATAGCACTCACCTTCTTTTGCTTCAATTGGATGCACAGAAGAAATAACTGCTCTTGAGTTCATAGTCTTGAAGTCCTCATCTTCTTCAACTGCCCTTCAAGACTTAACTGCTTTGTCATATTGTATTACGAATTCATTCAACATGGTGCTCGAATCGACAAATCCATCAAAAAAGGAATTAATACTCTCACTTCGTCCACTGGTTGTCATACCAGCCAAGAAAATATGTAACACTCCGTTTGAAATTAAATAAAATGAATAAATAATTAATAAATTCTAAAACCCCGAGATGTATAATATATTTTATTGTAGCTCTAAATCCATAATATTTTAGCAAGGTGTTGGTTCCGAAGAGTTAAAAGTCGTAACTTTTGAATATTTGGGGGTCAAGTGTAATTTACGGATTGGTATGTAAAGATTTTCTGAAGTCAAGGGGGGTGTTTGGTGAAATATTGGACTTAAATCGAATAGATTTTTGGATGCTAGGGGCTGATTGGTAATTTCCGGATTTAAATTGAAAAGATCTTGGGAGGAGGGACTAATATTGGAATAATGGACCAATGTTGGGATGAGACACATGATTAATCCCCATAACCTTTTCCCCCTCGTTTCTTTGTCTCAAACCTAACCCTACCTTATCAACCTCCAACCACCAACCTTGTATCCCCTCATCCACCGCCGCCTCGCCGATGGACGCCATCACCATTGTACCGCTACCGGAGGCACTGTGAACAGTCGGGATGACCACCGGAGGCCGACAAACGGGCCATAATCGTTGCTACATAGGGTCATGAGCGACCGGGAAGCCTTGGGTAAGGCCTTCTGCCATCTCTTTCTCTCTCTTTTCCTTGATCTTTCCAGCGACTGTGACGTAGGTCACGTCCTCACTGTTGCTTCCGACTTTAGCCACCGTTTCTGTTAGCTCCGACATTGCCAGCCACCAAGTTGGTGGTTGAAGGCTGTGGTCTCATGCCATGTTATGCATGTATGCTGCTAGAATCGTGAAGCTTGTGGAGTAGATGATATTTTGGTCGGAGGTGAGGCGAACCACCATGGCAGCCAACCATGGTGGCAGCCGCTAAATCTCTTCCTCCCACCGCCACCAGCCACCATGAGGAGGTGGCTGTGTGCGTGAAGTAGTATGTGTATGAATGTACTTCTTGGGTTTAACATGGTATTGATCTCTCTTGGACAGGAAAACAGAAGGAAACTCACCACCACCTGCTGCCGCCGTTCCGTCACTGCTAACCACCATCTCAGGTGGCTGTGGGCTTTCGGGTGCGTTTGGATTGATGTTTGGTGTAACACCCCATTTATTAAATAAATAAATAAATTAATGTATAGTAGCCCTAAAATCAATAATTATATAGTAAGGTGTTGGTCTCGAGGAGCTAATTGTCATAATTTTTGAGATTGAGGGTTAAAAGTGTAAGTTTCAGATTGGTTTCGTAAATAATTTTGAAGACAGGGACTACTCGATAACTTCTGGGACTTCATTTGAAGAGATTTTGGAGGCTAAGGGGCTGTTTGGTAAATTATGGATCGAATTTCTAAGGGAATTCAGAAGGCAGGGTTTAAATGGTAAAATAGGGGATCTGATTCGAAATGATTTTCATAGAGAGGGACCAATTCTACCATTATGGCAATAAGACTTGTAGGGCATCGGGTATTTAACTCCATCTAAACCTAACCCTAAAGAGATGAACAACTGTCACCTCCCCTTTATGCCTCCCACCACCGGCCGCCACCCTATTCTCTCTTGCTTCTCCGACCACCGAGCCGCCATTGTGCCTTTCCGTCGTTGCTGAAGACGGAGACCATCGTGTGATGCCGTCGTTCAACCGATAACGAAGGGAAGCAGATCGTAGCTGCCATCTTTGGTTGATAGAGCCACTTTCGTCGTTG